TGGAGCGGCTTCTGCAGACTTATCGGCCGTCTGTCTCCAGGCTACCTCGAACCACTGGCTGCCGACTCGGCTGGGAAAGAAGCGTTGGCATTGGACGCCTGTTGTCCATGGCAGCTGTTGGGGCTGCTGGCTTTTTTTGCTCACGTCTCCCCCCTTCTTCCACTTATTCACCCACCTATGTTTCTCTCGATAGTGCTGCTGCATGGTCTGCAGCCGGATGCATATATATGAGCATGTGTTGCATCATATACTGTCGTTACAGGGCGCCATGAGATATAGGATTGCTGCTATATATGGGCTGGGGTGCTTTAGCTCTGCAACTTCAGACTGTGTCTTATAAACCGACGTCTCTTGCTCGATCTTACAGATAATAGCATATCTTTCTTTAGGTTTAATAGACGAATGACGCGTTCTCAGATATGCAGCCGACTCGTTAGCAACTACTGCAAACTGACAAACTATGCAGATAAGCAGACGAAACAGCTTAGCAACCATAAATAGATCTATCTTCAACGCTGTTATTATAATTCTCTTTAGATCAAGATATCTATCCCTATTCCTGTTATTAATATACTGACTTATGCTTTTTGCTCTATAAATGTTTTCTACTACCCACTCTAGGTAACCATAGTAACTTGTGAGTGCTATCCATCAACTTCCTGCCCAAGTGGAATGCTCTTGAGCGCACAGGCCAGTTGTCCATAGTGGAATTAGCGGTGCGGTCCAATAGCATCAACGCAGGGGGGGTAGAGCAGCGAACACCACATCAAAACTGTAGCTTCAGCAATAAATTCACTTATAAATCAATCTGTCGTAGTTTTACCTCCAAACTGAGCACACTTCATGTCCTGAATTGACATTATATTTTGCAGTTAAATGCACACTTTTTACTGCAGAATTCGCTGAGATCTTCTTCCAACACCTACCCCCTACCTCTTCAACCAACACCTACCCCATGTATGTCACCCCCCACTTTTCCATTTGGTGAGGATTTCAACCATCACCTAGTAGGTGTTTGAAGTTGCCAGTATGTTAGGATTTCAACCATCACCTAGTAGGTGTTTGAAGTTGCCAGTATGTTAGGTCTATGCGCGCCTAATCACTAACAATATGCTAATTTCCTCCTCATCCTCATCTCCTGCACTGTCCCACAGTGACAAGCTGGGTGATATCTACGCCTGGTACTTTGAAACATGTCTTGAAGCAGTATTCGGTTTGCCTGTATAATTGCTTGTGTAATCTGTCTGTAGAGTTCCAAAGCAGAGATCAAGGACCGTTTCCTCGGGGGGGCGTTTGGAAAATGCTGCCTGCTGCTCCTCCGACATAGGTCAAACGAAGATTATATAATGCCAAACATTCAAGGTGCCTCGAGAAGACCGAGGAATTCAACCTCTGAAGAGCCCAGAACCAACCTTCTCAGTTTGGCACCCCGCCAGAGGTCACCACAGGTCATCAAGAAGCTTCGATTCAACAATATCATCAACGGAAATCACAGCTCTACCGAAACACCAACGTTCAATTCAACGGTTATAAGTAACGCTATAAGTGAAGCTTCTTCTAGTAGCGCATCACTTAGTACCCGATTACATTCAGGTAGCGTCCCTGAAAACTCTCCTGGCTTGGATGTGGTTGTTAACATGGTGTCCGAACTCCAACCTAAGAGTCTGCCAAAAGGTAAAATATCAACTAATACCGCCACAAAATACTTCTTCTAATGTTCCTTTGACTTGCGGGGTGTTAAAGAGTCGTTCTTACTCAAGAGACAGAGGACATACGAGGAGAACGGAACAAGAAGATGCCCAACCTCGTCATCAAGTGAAGATTCGCTTTGATATCTAGCATCCCAAACTAAAAGCGGGTATTCTCAATCTCAACGCTAGCGCCATCTTATCTACACAGACAGTACTTGCAATTTTCGTTTTGTAATGCTTGATTTTTTATATAAACTTTTCGCCATTATTTCCCCTTAATATTTTCCGTCACAAAAAGGTATAACGACGGCTTCTTTTGGGTTTGGAAACCTATATTGAGTGAACGGCGATATTATGCAAGGCCCTCGTCCACTCCTTTAGATGCTTATAGAGGGAATCATAGCCTTCCACTGGTGGACTGCCGTCTTGAACTTCAAGAGGCTGTGTCTTCAAACAACTGTATGGCGACATCGCCGGATGCCAACCTCTCAGTCAAGTTTCCTGTGCATGTTGAGAACCTCCAAATGATCATCTTGTCGCGCTAGATGCAAAATACTTGAGCGAAAATGGCTTTAAGTTTGAAACTGTTGATGCTGCTGGGAGAATCTCCAAGCTTTGACAACAACCAGCCGAGCGACTTTTCGAGTGTTTGGGAGAGGACTCTCTGCGACTTTTATGGAGATATTGAAAACAGATCGGGCAATGCGAGCATATACACCAATACGATTTGCACCTAGGATCGTCAAAGAGACGTCCAGAACTGAAGGTATCCAAGTCACTACGGCAGCAGAGTTTATGCATCTCGGATCAAGCATTTTAGTGATGTAAGTGTCTGCGCTATCAGTACTCACGCAACTTGATCGGTGGCTTTTGGGAAAAGCCGAAATAGGGTGGCAAGGATCTTTTCTAACAACGTAGAGAAGAGTTTCCCAAACTTAGCCTTGCGGAGCAAAGTGAATACTTGACGGAAGATGGCTTCGTCTACAGAGTTTCAACTCCTTGTCTCATAATAATGATCCGCATGATTGGTATGAGTGAGTCTAATAAGCTTCAGTACAGAGGTCGTTCTCATACGCACACCTCACAACATAGCGCAGTTGGCATCAGGTGTACACCTCGCAGGGGGGTCTACAGACTTCTGAGGGGGCTGTGGCCGTGCAAGCGCCACACACTTATGCAAGGAAATACAAGTTACACAGTAAAATCTAAAAAAGCTCTCTGAGTGCCCTAAAGTTTATATGAGGGGAAAATAGGATTGCGCATATGCTTAGCATATGCGCGCCCTCAGGGTCTCTAAGGCAGGCCCCCTAAGGCAGGGCCCCTAAGGCAGGGCTTATGCTAAGCATATAGTAGATATAACTTCTAAGGCTTAGAGGGTAAGGCCCTTAAGGCCCTTAAGGCCCCTAAGGCTTAGGGGATATATACTAAGCATATACTAAGTATATACTTTAGAAGGCTCTTAAGAGCGTGTAGAGGCTTATGTGGAGCATATGCCTAGCATATGCTAGGCCTTATACTGTGTGGGCCCTTTATGTATGCATAATAGAGGGCTGAAGTTCCCCTGCGCCCCCCTCAGAAGTCTGTAGACCCCTAGGCGAGCAGCACTCCGGTTGGGATCTAAAGGCAAGCTCATGAAAAAAGTGACTAAAAATATCTCATGCGCATCAGCCATCGCCAGCATTAAAGGCTTGGTGAGCATTTGCAAAAATACTGCAAGTCATAAGCAAAAATCTACATACAACACCGGGCATTCGCCGGTCGTCACCGACCCGACTACTACTCCAGCCCTCATTGGCTTATCTATGGGAGAGCGGACGGGATCCCGAGTTTTCCAATAGGTATGGTCGTATGTGGCGGGAAATGGGGGCAATGCAGTCTATACCGACATTGCGTCTCCAACGGGCAGCCGTCCACGTACAGGTCTGCTCGCCCCGCCAAGTCCACCAGCAGAATAGCACGCACATTCAGCTGTTATTTCGGAGTGGGGCAACTCACCTCAGACACTGGAGCTGGCGACCGAAAGAGTGGATCCGGCCGCACTGGCGGACGGACGGCCTCTGACGGAGCCTGAATCCATCCTCTGCGCGAGTGGTCGTCGGCGAGTCATGTGCACTGCCCGATCGGGACTAAGAATCGGCTGTGATTCGCCGACCGACCAGCACGACCGCAAGCCACACTCGTTGGTTTCTGAGATGCTCGGCGTCCACAGCATCGTCCCTTGAAGTTTCGTCAAGCGCGCCTTCCCACAGTGGCTCTCAAGCTGCATTTGCGACAAAGTCGTGAAGCGGCCACGTCTTATTCCTGCATTTCTGGTGCACCCTGCGACGCGTCCAGTCCGCGTAGTCATGTGTGGTCGCAGACTCATTCATTCCATCGTGATGTGTTTAGCTGAAGGGTCCAGTGTGGTCAGTGGGTATCTCCCGATTTTAGTACCAAAAATCGGGAGGTACCCACTGTGAATACAGCGATGGTGCAGTGGGTATCTCCTCACTGCAATTGGGAGGAAGCCATTTCTTTGGCCAGAGAGGATTGCCCGAGCTGCACCTCAAAATGGGAAATCCTCGGCGGCGCCCGAGACGGCCAGACTGGAAGATGCACGCGAACTCAAACCACTTTTTGTTGCAGATAGGGAAAAAATCACTACTGTTTCGCTAATGGTTGCCCAAGAAACGCTGCAACGACTTCGCGCAACGCAACGTGTAGCCCTCAAGAATCCACAGATGCAAAGGGATGCGTCATTACGACTCAGCTCAACAGAAAGAGAATGATGCCTGGCTTGGGCAGGAACGAGCCGCGAATTGGGTAGAGAATCTGCGCAACGCGTCTATGAGCACACCTCTTCCCCAGAGTCAAAAGGCCGACACAGACATACAACAAACGACAAGTATGCTAGATGAGATGCTGCAAGACGACAAGACGAAAACGGGCATCAACCGAGATGGTCGTTTTCGATCCGTTGCTCAACCGCTCGAGCCCGCTCGTGCCCGCCAGAGATAGTGGGAAAGGTCGTGATATGTCGTCCATACCTGCCTGCCTCCATTGCTCTTTCCAATTCTAAGCCAAGTGAAAAATTTGCGTACCTGCCTCCCTGCTTGATATCTCCCACCCCTTGTTCTTTCCGACAACAAAATCTTTGGTGAGTCCGAGCAGTAACTTCTGCCAAATTCGGCTCGCCTCTGCGATTCTTCTCTTGTCCACATTCCAACCACCGACTCCAGCAACACGCTCCCTTGCCCCCGTGGCCAATCCGAAACTGCTCAACACGACAACTCACACCGGAAAGGCCCTCGCGCTCGTTGCTTCTCGAGCATGTCGGTTGACGCGAAAACCCGCAACGTGGTCTTGGAGCCTCCCCGTGACGCAGTTGCTGCCGCGCTGGATCAGGCAGAGCAGTACGGCCTCGCCACAACTTGGCCGCCCTCTGCTGCTGACGGCGCCTTGCAGCATTCTCTCAACGACCATATTTCTAATCTCGCCCAGAATCTACCTGATACAGGTGCCGACATAGACTCCACGCGCCGATGGCTCAACGCCGCCCTCGATTTTCGCCAAACTACGGTCAAGCACCCCGTTGCCTGGACTGGCGCTGAACTGCATTCGCTTTCGGGACTCGAGCTTTGCGAGTATCTGGTCGAATGTGGTCTCGGCAAATGCCAGGCTAGAGAAGTTGCCAGAGATGTTGTGTCCGCCCGCGAGGTCCGTGTCCCTGACTCTCACGTTTTTCATGTTGCTAAAGCTTTTCTCTTGGCAGACAAGAGCAACGTGGATCACCAAGATTACAGAAATGAAACAAACGATGATCGAGCAGGCCCACGACACCTGTACCGAAGACTTCAAGGTCTGCGACACGATTCGCATGTCGTCCATCCTTGCCTGCTTGTTCATGATAGTGGTTGCAACGTAGGTTGGACTTATTCATTGAAGGTCGCGCGCTTTTGGTGGGTGTTGTGGTGGAAACATTCGCATGCTTCCGCATTTACTCACCACCTGATATGATGTCGAGGGAGCTTTTGTTCATTGTTCATAGGACAGATGACAGATGTTGTCTATGCCGACGGGTTCAACGAGGTGACATCATCGCGAGCATGGTTCGGAATGGCCTCGAGATACGCAACTGGAATAGATCAGACGGTCATTTGCCACAGCCTCTCGGACCGATAGACAGCTAGGTACTCTTTTCTATCTCTAAATTGGCATTCCAAGTCATGGTGCAGAGCAAATGCCACTCAAGTCCCCAACATCATCTCCTCAAACCGAACCACTCATTTTAATTCCCTCCACGTCCCTCCATCTCTGTCTAATCTGTAGATTCCAGTTCAAACTTCTCGCCTGCTACACATCTTTTTTTCATCCTGAGCTGCACATCCATCTCGCTAGATCATGGTTCGATCCTGCTCTCATATTCCATCCTCTGGACTGTGGACGCATACAAAATTCCTAGATTGCTCATTTTGCACGTCGTTGATTGCCACAGATGCATCCGACGGTGATGAATTCCAACACATAGTCTCATTCTGGATCTCGAAACTTGTGGCTCGACTTGCCTGACGCTTCACGATGCATGATGGACCAGCCGACACACATCCCCTTAAATTGATTGTTGCATGTTCCCCATACTAGCGAATATGCTTTTGGCGCTATTTATTGATGCCAACTCGCAGTATCGGCTGTTAAATGTCTGGAGCAAGCCTTAGCCATTTCCGGCACCAATCCTCAAGTATCTCATCCTCTTCTTCTGATGTTTCTGCAAGCAAAGACAGACAGAGACACTCAAACATGGCTCCCAGTGGTCAACCAGCTGATTTGGCGAGTGTGCATCAAAGTTCACATCACGGTGGTCTCGCAAACGCGACTCAATATCACCTCACGCCAGGAACTCAGACTTGGGTGGTAAGCGTCGTGATATGTTAACAAGTTTTCACCCTATCTTTGCCCTCATTAATATAATCTATTTATGCTGACAACTAAACTATGAAATCGAAAATTCAATACACACTTGGATATGCCCCCATACCGGTTGTATGCTGGTTCGAGACGCGCCAGTTCCTAAAACTGCCCGATGTCGATCTCCTTATGCATGTTTAGGCCCAATCTGTCCTCTCGCCGACCACATCATCGGATATGCTGCGCGAGGCCAGTTCTCACATCACATAAACTACTTGAATCAATATGTCCTTAAGTTCTCCAAAATCAGCTGAGGGATCTCTCTCGTTGCGCAAATGTGTTTCCATAGCCTAAGCGAGTCAATGTTGACAACCGACCGAGAACAAGAGCTGGATAGACGGACGCTCGTGTCAAGAAGGACACGCCACCATAAAAGTCTTGAAATGCAGGGCCTCATCTATATAGGCGGATATGCAATCCTGAGACCGATTTCCTGAGGGGGAAAACTTCTTGTCTGGGCGTCTGATAAGGAGAGTAACGATGGGTTTCGGACAAGGAAACAGGATTCGAATTTCAGGGCGGAGCGGACTCTAGACCGGAACATGATAAAAGTCAAGCGCAGAGCTCAAGCTGTTGGTCAGCAAGAACCTATCACAGGTGGCAGAGATGAAGCTCAAGACCTTTCCGATATACGAAAGAGCATGAGTACGTCATTTATCGTCCCACTATCTTATAACCTTAACGAACCTGTCGTCTTTGTGTCTTGCCTGTTTTGCCTGCAGTTCGGTATCTCCCTCGTGGGGACTGGTCATCGAACTCGTATCCTAAGCATAAACTGTTCCGATCTCGGGCTAGGTTAGGGCTGCTGAATGACACCTCCGTCTTCCAAACCTTCCGAGTCCAGCAAAGCGTAATGAACCCTGCGCTTAAGTGTTTCTTGCAGATATTGCGTTGTTCAAACGTCCTCGCAGAAGGTGGTCTTCCCGGACAGCTGCCGCCTTCTTGTCAATGGCCCCTGAAATTGCTCGTTCCTCCACCTCAATCATCTGATTTATGTCCCCCAAGCTTTCGTAGTTCTAGTTGTGTCATTCTCAAATAAATTTGAGTAATACATCGAGCGATGGAAGCGCCGAATGCGTGTGAGTGAGGATATGAGTGAGGATATGAGTGAGAATGTGAAGTGCTGAGTGAGGAAGGGAAGTTCTGAGTGAGGCGCACTATTACGTGATCAGCCGCTTCGTCTCTGAGACTGTGGTGGCCTGTTTTCTTATCTGCTTCTCTCCAGTTCCAGTAGGCCTTTGGAATAGCATCATGACATCTAACTTGGAATTCCACGAAAAGAATCATTCTATAACCATCAGGCATTAAAATGAAAAAAACAGGTCCTGCAGTAGATGATGGACTTGGACAGGATATCGACGTCCTACAGACAGTGATGGATTCCACTGTCTAGTGTTCCGAAAGACTTTAATGCATGAAGTCTGTTATTTGACTCTTCACAACCGAAATCTAGTTGGCATGGTCTCCTATGAAACACCAAAGCATATGTGGAACCGGCGGGCCGACAAAATGATATTGATATAGTCAGCTGGTAGCAGACGTTGTATTGTGAGTGTGAGCAACAAATTGGTTATAGCTCTCTTCTATTGCGTCGAACGAGACGTCGACCTAGCAAGCCCCGCAGGTGTTCCTGGCAAGTCATCTTAGCAGCAGTCACGTTCCCAAAGGTGGAATTGTGGACTGTCTTTTGGAGTGATTGTAACTCCACAGTCGAGTAGTTGGATTCGCGGGAGAGTATATGTGCCGATAATTGCGTCCGGATATGCGGGGCGTCACAACTGTCGCCCACAACTTCATTTATTGCCTGGGCGCACGATACGCACAGTGACGAGCCCACGAGTCGCCAAGCCTGTGATAAGTGAGCGCAGGAGACTTGTAGAAGCAAGCGCAGAGGCAAGTCGTAGCGAGGTTGATTTACATGACGGTTGGGCTGCCGATGGTGTGCGGGAGCTCATGATGTGCAATACTTCGGACGACGTAGAAGGCTGAAAGATGAAATGTGCTCAAGCCAATGATTCTGCATGCATCGCCAGATGTTTTAGGAAGAGCCAACAGATATCTACCACGGCAGCTCCGGTCAGCTTCCCTCCTACACACCACCCCACCGGCACCCACTGTTAGTGCCGCGCTGGGACCTTCACATTAACACTAACACCACCCAATCTACCCCCCACACCAGAACCCTCGCCCGCGATGGCCTCACAGCCAGCCGCGGGCCTCTCGCAGGCCCCTAGGGGCCTTTCAGCCTCTATGCATAGCCTCCCCCAGACCCCTCCTCCCCCTACCTCCTTACCTCCACGACCGAGGGGCCTCACGCCCCCCCCAATCCGGCCCTTGGGAAGGGGGCCACGATCCGCCGCCGCCGCCCTCCAGCAAGCCCGAGAGGGCTGGGCCCTCCGAGATGAGGCCCTAGACCTCCTCGCTAAAGGACTAGATGCCCTCATTAGGACAGCCCCAGCGCGACTGAAGGCTACAGCCTAGGACCTCATCGATACCTTTACCCGGTTTGCAACTGCAGAAACCTCTGGACCCACCCCTGGCCCCAGCACTAGAAAAACGTATGCCCAGGCAGCTGGTGGCCCCACGGCAAGCAGCCCTGGCCCCAGCCCCAGCCCTAGGTCGAACCGAACAACAGGCTGGCGGGCTATAAGCTCTATAAACCAGCCAAAACAGACCTAGGACCTCCACCTACTAGTTCGGCTCCCTGCAGAACATATCCCTGCCTCCAGAACCCTAGCCCCCCACTCAGTTAAGATGGTAGTAACAAAAGAGCTCAACCTACAGCCGCAAGACCTAGTTGAGGTCCGTCACACTGCTACAGGCTTCTCACTCCAGCCCCAAAACAAGGAGATCCAGGCCCTACTTCTACAGAGAGCCCCTGAGATCAAAAGCTGTCTCACAGCTGAGAAGGTTAAGGTGCCTACTAAGTGGCATCAGTATATCATCCTATTCTGCCCCCTCTACTTTACTAGCCTTAACGGCAGTAGGGTTAGTATGGAATCTGAAATAGAGGAAGAGGTCTTCCTAAAGACAAAACAAAGACTCCTCTCCTGGCGCCCAACCCAGGGCAGCCCTGATCTAGCTACAGCTACATAAAGTCTGATTATCGCCCTCCCTCAAGAGGTTAAGGAAGGCTTCCGCCTGTTTGGACAGTCAGGCCCTGCCCGTCTGCTCCCCCCGAGGAAGAATATCCCCAAACGACACTCCCCTGGTTGCCAGGGCTTTCACTCAAACCGCTACTGCACCTGGAAACCCCTCTGCAAGAACTGCAGCAGACCCTTAGATACTTATGAGGCTGGGGTCTGCTTAGCTAGGGCTAAGTGTGCTAACTGTTATAGGCCCTATCCAGCAAGCCATGCAGACTGCCTAGCTAGGCCTCTACTGATTAATAGAAACCTGACTATCCCAACCCAGAAGGAACAGCGAGGGATCCAGAAGGTTGGAGAGAAGGCGTTCGACGATCTCATAGCAAGCCAGGCCTGCTCCCCAGGCAGAACGCAGCAAGCTGAGGATAGGCTAAGCACACAGGGGCAACAGCCAACAACTAAGCGCCCTCGACCCCTCATGCCTACATAAGACTTAATTATTGTTGCAGATACTGCTAGTGTAGCTAGGAGCAGTAACATAGATGAAGATGAGGCTGAAGATGCTGAAGCCCTCCCCCCAACTAACCGCCCTATCTGCCCCCTCCTAAGCAGCAGCAGGAGCCAGAGGGTAGCACAGAAGCCTGACTATAACGTTATTAATGCCTACACACACCTCGACCTCGACTCAGAGCAGTAGGCTCAGAATGGCTACCCCACAGGTACTACGGGTCGCCCAGTGTAACGTGGGGAAGAGAAGCCCAGCTTATACAGCTCTTCTAGAGCTCTGCTGGGCAGATCAGATCGATATAGTCCTGATCCAGGAACCCTAGGTAGGCTATAGAGATAAGATGCAGATTAACACACACCTAGGCTT